GGCTGATTTTTAGGTTAACTCTTAAGTCCTACCAGCACTCGGGAATCTCCAAGCTGTTTGTGCCGCCAGGATTGCTGCCAGACCGCAGCTCGTTATGTCTCCTTTTTTGGTATTTTCACGCAGATTCTTCTGCAAGTTGGGGTTTAGTCCACTTGTATATCCTTCCCTTTAAGACTCAGGGGTTCAGGGTTATCTTCTGTGTCTGTGTTTACTGGTTTCCCTTTTCTTTGTTGAAGAGGGTCTGTGCAGTCTTTCTGCCTAGTCCGCCATCTTGCCAGAACTCTCCTGTCCTCATCTTTGCTTTTTAACACTTTATAGAGAGGTCTTGTGCAGCAGATTTGCCCAATGAAGTTCATTTTTTGATTTCTTGATTGCTGTTTCCATGGGCATTGACTGTGGATCTAAATAAAATTAAATCCTTGATGATTTCAATATTTGCTCCATTTATCATTAGGTTGCTCAGGCCCAGTTTTGAGGACTTTTGCTTTCTTTATGGGGAGGGGTCTGAAATTCTGCAAGCTCCCAGACAACCACATTTTGAGTAGGAGTACTAAAAGAACAAATAGAACTTCTGTATCTGTTCTGGTTATCTAGTGCTGCTCTGACAAGAATATACTACAAATGGGATGGCCTTAACAAACAGGAGTTTATTCTCTCATAGTCTGGAGACTTTAAGTCCAAATTCAAAATGCCAGGTTCTGGGGGCTGTGTGAAAGCCCCTCAACCTTGGGCTTCAGCTGTCTCCTGCTCCCAGCCCACTGAAATTAGAGGCATCTCTTCACTTAAGCAGCTACTGGCTGCTGAGGCTAACAAGCCCAAGGTTGACAAAAAAAATGACACAGTCCCAATGTTACCAAACCACGTGGCAGGCCATTAATTCAAGTCCACTGTAAGTCCCAAAGCTGGCCGAGCATGGCAGGATGCTAAACAATGTCATGGCTACACGCAGGGCCCAAGGGTGCCATAAGCTAGAGACCATTCCCCAAGGCTTCTCCTTATATCCAAGAAGCAGACCACATACCCAAAGGCAGCTACTCAGCTGCTCACAAGTAGATTCCACCATGAAGTTGATTACCAGTCTTATCATGGGAAATACTACATCCAGCTGCCCAGACATTCAACCAGGCCCAGCCAAGTTGAAAACAGACTTAACCACCACAGTATCATACTTACATTTTCTCCCTATTTTCAGATCTCATATGAGCTAATTCTGCTTCATCTTTTTCTTCCATGGAAGAACAGATTTTAGCAGAACAGTTTGTATCCCCAGCCTCTCCTTCTCCATTTCCATTTCCTCTGAAGATTTTCCCCATTGTTGCTAAAACAAAAATTCCTCTTGTTTCTTCCTGCATCTCAGTCTGGTGATTTATGTATATTCTTCCATTCACTCTGACATTTTCAGGAAAAAAGTTTTAATTCTGACTCCTTATCTCTAAGCTTCTCCAAGGTAAGGACGATGTGTTACTATCTTTATATTTCCTGGTACTTAGAGCTTTTTACTTACATAAAGTGCTATATATATATATATATATATATATATATATATATATATATATATAAAATTATAACAATCATAGTGATATATTTAAAGCTCTGGTAGCGTAGTGCCTAAGGCACTTGACTGCTAACCAGAAGGCTGGCGGTTCAAACCCATCAGCCACTCCTCGGAAGAAGATGGGGCAATCTACTTCCTTAGTGATACTGCCTCGGAAACCCAAGGAGGGGTCACTATGAGTCGGATCCAACTCTACGGCACATAATAACAACAACAATATCACTTTAAATAAATCATTTCATTTGACTTTACTACAATTATCTATGGCTTACAGCAGTGTGAGGTTACTTATTTGTTATTTCTTTCCCCCCATTATTACCCTCATTTTTTTCATTATTACCCTCCTAAGAAGCTCCTCAGGAGCTCTGGTATTATAGTGCCTAAGGCATTTGACTGCTAACCAAAGGCTGGCAGTCAAACCCACCAGCCACTCCTCAGAAGGAAGGTTGGGCGATTTACCTCCATAGTGAATACCACCTCAGAAACTCAGTGAGGGTGTGATGGTTAAGTTTGTGTGTAAACTTAGCTGGGCCTGGTTGAGTGGCTGGGCAGCTGGATGTAGTATTCCCCATGACTGGCAATCAACTCCATGGTGGGATCTACCACAAGCAGCTAAGTAGCTGTCTCTGGCATGTGTTCTGCTTCCCATATATAAGGAGAAGCCTTGGGGATAGTCTTATGGCATGCTTGGATCCTGTATGTCGCTATGTCATTGTTCAGCAGTCTGCCATGCTCTGCCGACCTTGGGACTTACAATGGCCTACCATGTGGTTTGGTAACATCGGGACTGTGCCATTTTATTTGTTGACCATGAACTTGTTAGCCTCAGCAGCCAGTAGCTGCCTGAGTGAAGAGATGCCTCCAGCTTCAGTGGGCTGGGAGCAGGAGGCAGAGCTGAAGCCCAAGGTCTAGGGGCTTCCACACAGCCTGGCACTTTGAACTCAGACTTAAAGCCTTCAGACTGTAAGAACATAAACTCCTCTTTGTTAAGGCCATCCCATTTGTGATATTTCTGTTAGAGTGGTACTAGGTAACCAGAACAGAGGGGTTGCTATGAGCCGGAACTGGCTCGAGGGCAGAGAAGTTTTTTGTTTTCTTTTTTTCTTTTTTAAGAAACCTTTTGAAATTGTTTTTCCTAATGCACCTCCCCATGACACTTTAATACCACAAATATACTGTAGATATCTATAGATCTATTTGTGTTGGTTATTGGGCTTAAGATAGACACGAACAATTATAATAGTTAAGGATTTTATACCTCCCAAGAATCAATTTTCATTCCTTTGGAGGCACTGTCACTCCTTTTGAGAATTATTTTTACAGAAGAGAAACTGAGGCATAGACAGGTTAAGTAAATTGGTCAAGGATACACTGATAAGAAGGAGCAAAACACTCAATAACAGTTGGGTGAATAAAATAATAAATGAATAAGTGGGTGTATGGATAGAAGGATGACTGATACAAAGAATATTACACTTTCTGTCCTGAAGGAGGCTTGCAATTTAATTATGTTGTATATATCAGTGCCCCCTACTACATAGGTTCAAAGACCCAAAATCCAGTTTAATCAGTCCATAGCTAGTGTTCTATAAATGTTTTATTTATTTAACATGTTGTGGAATAAAAAGTAATATACTGTATAATATATTTTATAAACAAAAATATAAATGTTGGCAGAATTTAAATATTTCTGATTAAAAAAAAACTTATGATATTTGAGAGATTAATATTTTCATCTGAATATAAATGTGTTGGAAATCTTTTCCCACAGGCAGAGTGTTTGTCCACGAGTGGGCCCATCTCCGGTGGGGAGTGTTTGATGAGTACAATGAAGATAAGCCTTTCTACAGTGCTAAGTCAAAAAAAATTGAAGCAACAAGGCATGAGCATTTAAAATTTCATAAACGATTTCAGGATGTAACTGATCTTTTCTTTAATTTCTTTCCTAATGCCAACCTTTTCTTTTTGTCTTGATGTAGATAATGGATGCTATATGATAAAATAGAGCATTTCTTTTATTTTAGAAAATTTATCTTAAAGTAGCTGGTTGCCAATTTGAAATACACATAACTTCAAGAGCATTTGGTAGCCAATTTGACATATTTTACATCTCTTTCCCATAGCTGCTAGTGTTCATTGTGCTGAAAATGTGCTCTGTGTAAAGAGTTGTACCACACGCTCAGAAAAGATAAAAACTATTGAAATTGCCCATGAATGAAAAAGGGCTAAAACTAAAACAAAAAACACACTGCCATCAAGTCGATTCTGATTCCTAGTGACCCTTCAAGACATAGTAGAACTGCTGCCCCATAGGGTTTTCAAGGCTGTAAATCTTTCTGGCGTGTGGTGAGGAACAGCTGGTGGGTTTGAACTGCTGACCTTTTGGTTAGCAGATGAGTTTTAACCACTATGCCACAATGTGGGCTGAGTAAGATATTAATCAGCTTTAAGGAGCCAACTGAGAATTTCTTGGCTGTTTATAAAGATGATTTAAAATACTAGTACAGCATCACAATTAATAGCAAACAATTTTCTTGGTTTTGGGATCAAAAGAGTAAAATATTTCAGAGAAATTGGTTTAAAATTAGGTGTTATCAGCCTAATCACTATAGATGCCCTGCAGGGGATAGATCACAAATGAGAAAGTTAGAAGTTACATGATTAAAAGTTCATTCCTCTGTCCTTCCTTCTTGTACCAGTTTTTGAGACGTGTATTTTAAAGAGTATTACCTTTATTGCATTTGCTTACATCACATTATGCCTAAGAAACTAGTTTCTGCTACAAAATAGTCATCATGGATTGTTGATATAAATAGGTTAATTACGTTCACTGGGTTTTGGGACAATATAAGCATAAACATATTTAGGAGATTCCTTAAATGACTGAAAGCTCATCATTGCTTCCTGAATTTCAACTGAAAGTACATTGAAAAGATAAAAGTATATTCAAATCCCTGCATATTTATTATAATTACTGTCACTTATGGCCAATTCCAAGCACTAAAACTTAGGTCTAAAATATTCCATTAGTTTTCAGCCACTCCTAGGAAGGAAGACTAGGCAATCTACTGCCATAGTGATACTGCCTCGGCAACCCAAGGAGGGGTCACTATGAGTCAAGGCTGACTCGATGGCACATAACAACAACAGTTTTCATTCTGGAACCTAGGGTCCTTGGTGTTGTTGCTGTTATTGTTATGTGCCTGTCCCACTCACAGTGACCGCTCCTTGGGTTTCCAAGGTGGTATCACTATGGAAGTAGATTGCCCAACTTTCCTTCCAAGCAGCCCTTAACTCATTGCTTCTAGCCACGTTCCTCTTTGGATAACAGTGCTCCTTGACTAACTGAAACAATTGTAGCTATACCATGTCCCATTGTTGGGGGCTCTCTTCTCTTGCAAGATATCTATAAGTAATTTTGAACTAATGTGGTTTTAAAGTTCCCTCACAAGATGCCTGAAGCACATTTACCACCAGGGAAAAGAGGGACTCTCCAATCATTAGCCTAAGCAGGACAGCAGCAGCTTTAAATTCAGCACAGAACTCAGCCATTGTATATATGGAGTTCCCACTGCAATGTTTTGAAAATTTTTCCTCCATAGCTTCTTGAAGAACAGATATCATTCTAATAGGAACCCTTAAGCTTTGCTGTCAGGTACACAAAGAAGATTAAATATCTTCATATAACATGATAATTAAATATTTAAGATTTTCAAAACATGTTAATGATTAGGTTGCTTTTGTCAAAGACTAACTGTCATATATTTTCAGGTGTTCCATAAGTATCTCTGGTAAAAATAGTGTTCATAAGTGTCAAGGAAACAGTTGTATAACCAGAGCATGCAGAATTGATTCTCAGACAAAACTGTATGAAAAAGATTGTCAATTCTTTCCTGATAAAGTTCAAAAGGAAAAGGCATCCATAATGTTTATGCAAAGCATTAATTCTGTAAGTATGCCAACAATTGCTTCTATATTTTATAACCAAATGACTTATTATATTGTTTTTAAATTATCTGTCCAGGTGACCTGAAGGAGTAGATCTATTAATATAAGATTGTTTGGATATTGGCTACACACTAAAAAAATGGGAGCTCTGGTGGTGCAGTGCCTAAGGCATTTGACAGTTAACCAGCCATTCCTTGGAAGGAAGGTTGGGCAATCTACCTCCTTAGAGATACTGCTTCGGAAATCTGAGGAGGGGTCGCTATAAGTCCGGTCCCACTGGGTGGCAGTGAGTTGGCACATAGTAAATACTCAACTAGTGCTCTGGTAGCGTAGTGCCTAAGGCATTTGACTGCTAACCAGAAGGCTGGAGATTCAAACCCACCAGCTACTCCTCAGAAGGAAGATTGGGCAATCTACCCACATAGAGATACTGCCTAGGAAACCCAAGGAGAGGTCGCTATGAGTCGGGTCTGACTCGATGGCAAATAACATTATTGTTGTGATTAAAAATTCACCTTAGTATGTATTGATTCCTCATTGAATATTTCATTCAATAAGCAATATATTTTCAAAACAGATTTTTAATTTTTTTCAGTTTTGTAGTTAGACTTCAAAATGCATGTTGTTGTTATTGTGTCATCATCAATTCCAACTCTCAACCCTATAGACAGAATAGAACTGCTTCATTGGGTTTCCTAGGCGGTAATCTCTTTCAGAACATGTCTTTTCTCCCATGGAGTGACTGATGGGTTTGAACAGCCAACCTTTCAGCGAGTATTTGGATGCTTAACCATTGCATCACCAGGGCACCTTTAAAATGCATACCATATTAAAAAAAAAAATTAATTTTTTTATCTCACTAATCTTTTAGGTGGCTGAATTCTGTAATGCAAAAAACCATAACCGAGAAGCTCCAAATCTACAAAACAATAAATGCAATTTCAGAAGCACATGGGAGGTGATTAGCAATTCTAAGGATTTTAACACCACCACACCTATGGTAGAACCACCCCCTCAACCTGCCTTTTCATTGCTGAGGATCAGTGAAAGAATTGCATGCTTGGTTCTTGATAAATCCGGAAGCATGTCGGTAAGTTTCGTGGCTCATTTTTCTCAGATGGGGGTGGGGGTGGGGGGTTAGTGGGTGACTAAATAGTTAAGAAAGCATCATACTCTATCTGTACCTGGGTTGTTCTTAATTGCATGATGGCATAAAGTCCTATCACTTTCTGTGGTTCTGACCTCAACAGCAGGAACAAAATGTGGTAGTGAAGGTAAGATGCCAATAGAGTTAAACAGAAATAACACAAGAGTCCCCTCTTGCTTTTTTTCTACCCCCCAGAAAATGAAGGATTTACTGAAGAGGGCATTGAAGCCCTTTAGTAAAGCTTTAGATAAAGGATCAGAATTAGAGATTGAAATATACAAATGATTTCCAATCATGCCCCTTTTATCTATTGGGAATGCTTGAGAGACATGGGAATAGAGTGAAATGGAAACTGCTAAACTCCTAGTCCACGTTAAAGAACAGGATTAACTAGGATAATTCTTAGCAGGGCTTTATTTTATGTATACCACCTATACACCTACCTCTTTATGATCAAAAACACAGAAAAAATGTATCATAATAAAGAAGATATGACCAAACACAGCCATTCATTTCTTTTACTAGGATTCAATGAGTATCTACTCTGTGACAGGCATTGTGCTAGGCTTTGAGAGTAGAAGTCCACAAACTTGAGGAGTTGATGGTTGAACAGAGAAAATGTTCTCTCCCTTTCCTCGTTCATATTTGGTGCAAGCACCCACTTCTTCCAGGGAAAGCCGGGCTGGGCTTCTAGCTGACCTTTCTTTTCATCTTCCACAAGGCCCAGTGCTCACTATTACTGCTGTATATTAAACTGAAATTACACATCTTTGTCCCAATACAGTGGCAGCTCCTCAGGACTTGGAACTATATTTTATTCTACTTGTATCCCCAGGGCTTGCTACATGTAGGTATTCAATAAATAATTGTTGACCTCAACAAACTATAATCAAGCAGATACAATGTGAAAAGGCACTCAAAATTATGGCAATTTGAGACAAAACTAGAGTGCTAAAGATGAGAAAAAAAAAGTCTTCAACTAGTGGTGGTTATTGAAAAAAAAAATGGGGATGGTTCAGCTGAATGCAATGAACATTGTTGTTGTTGTTGTTAAGTGCCCTTGAGTCGTTTCCAACTCCTAGCAACCCCATGCACAGCAGAACGAAACACTACCGGATCCCACACCAGCCCCACCATCCCTGATATACTTGAGCCCATCATCGCAGCCACCGTGTCAATCCATCTCGTTGAAGGCCTCCCCCTCTTTCGTCGACCCTCCACCCTACCAAGCATGACATCCTTCTTCAGGGAATGGTCCCTTCTGACAACATGACCAAAATAGGTGAGACGAAGTCTGGCCATTCTTGCTTCCAAGGAGCATTCTGGCTGCACTTCCTCCAGGACAGATCTGTTAGTTCTTTTAGCAGTCCACGGTACTTTCAGCATTCTTCGTCAGCACCACAACTCAAAAGCATCAACTCTTCTTCAGTCTTCCTTATTCATTGTCCAGCTGTCACATGCATACAAGGCAACTAGAAATATCATGGCTTGTGTCAGGAGCAGGTTTCCAGAAATGGCAGCAAAGTGCTAGACACCAGCCTACAGAGGTGGTCTAGAAGGTGTGACTGGGGAGAGATAAGCTCCTAATTGGGATAAAATGAGCAGCCTCTCCTAGACAGGCTGCAGGTAGAAGCTTAAAGGCAAAGCAAAAATGTGGAGAGCACACTCACTAATGGTAATATAAGACATTATGATTTGTTTCCAGGGAGCTCAGAGGGAAATTTGGGCAAGGAAGAGAACTGTGACAGTGGGGCTGATGAATTAGCACAGAACAACAGTGTGGTGGTAAGGAAGAGGACAAATGGGTGAAGAGGCTTACATCCTGCCAGTGACCCAGTAAAGCCCTGGGTGTGTAAAGACCCAGTGTGTGAGTCCTGGTGTGTTAACAAAGAACTGGTTTCAAATAATCCATTGGTGGAGAAATGGTGGGGGAGGCAGGGAATGAGAGAGGAAAGAGACAGGGTCAGACTGGGCCTTTCAGGACTCGGTCAACGCTTGGTAAATTTCATCTTTTGAGCAGTTCTGCTCTCCAGTGGGGAATCCTTTGGGTGACACAAATGATTAAGTGTTAGACAACAACCCAGAGATTGGTGGTAGTGCCTAAGGCACTTGACTGGTAACCAAAAGGCTAGAGGTTCAAACCCACCAGCCACTCCTCAGAAGGAAGATTGGGCAATCCGCTTCCGTAGAGATACTGTCTCGGAAACCCAAGGAAAGGTCGCTATGAGTTGGGACTGACTCAATGGCAGTATGTCTGTTTTTTGGAGTTAGAGGCACCTCAGAAGTAAGGCCTGTTGATCTACTTCCAAAAGGTCACAGCCTTGAAAACCTTATGGTGTGCAACCAAGAATCTACTGTTGTGAAAGACCTCTACTCCTTACTATACTATCATGTGTCCTATAGCATATAACTATATTTTTAAATTTTATCAATTGGAAAAAAATGACAATGGCTTTCTTTCGGAACAACAGTTATGAAAGTTGCTTTCACAGAAAATTCTTACCAACAAACGCTGTGCACTTATTTTATGTAATCTATTACCTTCCAGTGGAAAATCACATGGCTATTTTTCTTGTTCTTTTTTATTCAGAATTCTAATCGCCTGGATCGACTGAATCAAGCAGCCAAACACTTCCTGCTGCAGACCATTGAAAATGGATCCTGGGTCGGAATGGTTCATTTTGATAGCTATGCCAATATCAAAAGTCAGCTAATCCAAATAATAAGCAACAATGAAAGAAACAAGCTTGTGGAGAGCTTACCTACAACAGCTTCGGGAGGCACTTCCATCTGCTCTGGAATTGAAGCAGCATTTCAGGTGAAAATCGATCTGCAAATACAGCTTGTATTTTTGTTTTGTTTTGTTTTTCAGGACATTTCTATGTTAAGTGTTACTGCTTTACTTACTGCATGCTTTTAATATAATTAGTTCAAAAAAGCACAGTGCTTATAAGCATTTAGGAAAATAAAAGCTCAATTACTTTTTTTAAAAGATCAGTGAATCAATGAATAAACTGACTAGTGACTAAATGACTATAAAACCAAACCAATACCAAGCTATTTGCCATCCAACTAATTCCAACTCATGGTGACACCATGTGTGTCAGAGTACAACTGTGATCCACAGGTTTTTCAGTGACTGATTTTCAGACACAGATCACCTTTTTAGTTAGCAGCTGAGAGCATTAATCTTTCTACCATCCAGGGACTCCAAATAGCTATAAAGTCCCACTAAATTACAAGCTCACTGAGGTAAGGGTATTTATCTCTTTCATTATCATACAAAGTACATGTTCAAAAAATGTTTGTTAAATAATGAATGTGCTTGAGCAGCAAAGCAACCAACTTTTAGGGCAATGAACAAGTTGTTTATAGTTATGATTATACCCTGAGCCAGTCCTCATTTCAGTTTCTATGACACTCTGTTTGGACAATCTGATGGTTTGTTTACCTATTAAAGCAGATACAGCAGGGACTGTTAGTCATATTTAGGGTTAGGCACGCTGGTTAGAGCATGAGACTTGACATCAGGAAAAGTTGGGTTTGAGTCCTGGCTTAGTTACTTAACCAGTTGTGTGATGTTAGGCAAAGTTTCCAGTCTCTTTGTACTCACTGCCTTATCTGTTACTACCTATGAAATACAGGAAAATAAGAATGCCTATCACCTAAGGTATTAAGAAGATTAAAAGAAATGATACATTTAACATACTTAGAAAAACATTTACTATATTGCATAGTAAGGAGCTCTGGTGGCACAGTCCCCAAAGCATTTGACTGTTAGCCAGAGGTTGGTGGTTCAAACTTACCAGCCACTCCACTGAAGGAAGACTGGGCAACCTACCTCTGTAAAGATTTACCACCTCGGAAACTCAATGGGGGTTGCTATGCAATGGAATCAACTCGGTGGCAGTGGGTTTAGCTTGGTTTTGGTACGCTGCATAGTAAATAAACAATTTGCATGAACTGTTATTATGAATGTTACATTTACCCAAACGGTCATCCTGAGTTCATAGTGAGTATCAATATTGTCATTTTAACGCTTACAAATCACCACCTCCTCATAGTCTATAAAATTGAGTTTGAATTCCTCAGCAGCATGATGTTATTCCAAGGCCTCCTACTCCCCTATAAAACTGCCTTCACCTATCTTTCCAGCCTGATTTCTCAATTCTCCCCTCCAGGTGCTCTATGCTCCCACCAAATTACTGTACACATTGTATTATACCACCTCCATATCTTTGCCCATAGTTTCTCTTCCTAAAATGGTTCCCTCTTTCCCATCTTTGTATGTTGAAATTCTACCAAATCATCAAAACCCTTTCTCCTTCATGTAGGCTTTCCTGTCACTCCCAAGCATATTGAACCTCCCCCTTTTGTGAATTATATGGCATTTTAGTGCAGATTTCTAACATGAAGGCCTGGGTTCACACCCCACTTGTCACTTAGTAGCTTTGTGACCTTAAGCATGATTCTCAACCTCTCTATTCCCAGTTGTCTTAGCATATAGAATTGTTCTTATTTTCAATTATTTGGCATTTACACAGCAAGCAAAGCACTGTGCAAGACACTGGGATACAATAAGCTCTCCGTGCTAATGAAGCATACTAGTCCAGTGAGGGGCAGAAAACAAGAGCAGTAATTACAGATGGTGAACAAAGGGCTGTAAAGGAACCAAATAAGATGTTGTGATAGAGATTAGTTGGAAGAGGTGAGGAGTTACTGTAGGTAGAGTGGACAGTCAGGTTTTCTCTGAAGCATTTTATCTAAAATGTATGTCTTTAAAAGAAATGAAGGATCCAGTGGTTCAGGAAGAAGGAGTAGCACAGAGTCTCTTAAGAAAGAGGGGGAAAAGAACTGGATTAATTCTCAGATATGACAGAAGTTAGTGGCACTGGAGATTGGTAAATGAGAGGGTATAAAAAGTGGTAGACAAGGACTAGATCTTTCAAAGCTTCAAAAATTATGGTAAGAGGTTTAGATTTTATTTTAAACACAAAAGAAAGCTTTGTTAAAATTAAGCATTGAGAAGGATGATCAATTTATGTTTTAGGAAAATGACTTTGCTTGCCCCATATGAAATAAATGGTATGGTTCAAGAGTGGTAGTAGAGGAATGGATAACCAAACTATGGTACATAGACACAATGGAATACTATGCAACCCTAAAGAATAACCTAGAATCTGCAAAACACCACATAATGTGGATGAAAGTGGAGGATATTGTGCTGGGTGAAGGAAGTCAATCACAGAAGTACAAATATTATTTTAGTCCATTATTATAAAAGTCAAGGAAAGATTTATCTATGGAAGGAAATTTTCTTTGTTGGTTACCAGGGGTGGGAGGGGAGGGGAGGGAACACAGATAGTTAGAGATAAGTATTAATTTGGGTGAAGAGAAGGGAAATATATCAAATGTGAGTGATAGACATGGTGGCATTGAGGAAGAGGAAGAGAGAAAGAGATACATGGGAGGTACAGACAACAAAGATGAACCCTTTTGCACATACAGTACTATGTTGTCAGTGAAGGCAAACATGGGTATACGGGGGGATAGATGCGTGGACAGGCTGAACTATTAGGTATGTCTATGAAGTGGGGAATGTACCCTAGACCACATATAGGGTTGGCAGACAATGGTCCTATAAGTGTATTTGTATGACCTGAATTCTCAGGTGTATAGTGGAGCTGACAAGGGACAAGGTTGTAGTCACTTCTTGGCCACAGCTAGCTACTCAGAGGGACCAAGTAGTTGAACCAGTGGGCTCGGGACCATAGTCACAGTGGACATCAAGCTCAACTGTCATAACATACTACATAAAACACTGTTCGACCTCCCACTTTGGCGAGTAGTGACTGGGATCTTAAAAGCTTGTAAGCAGCCATCTACATGCAATGATGGGTCTCTCCTCATCCAGAGCAAAGAAGAATGAAGAAAACCAAAGACTCATGGAAACAATTACTCCTAGAGACTGGTATACCGTGCGATCTGCAGCCTATATGACTATGAGACCAGAAGAACTAGATGGTGCCCAGCTACCACTGTCCACTACTCAGAGGGGAATTTATGTAGGAGATTCTGGATAGAGAGGGAGAACAATGTGGAACAAAACTCAAAATCATTTGGGGAAAAAAAGGGGGGCGGGGACCAGGTTTGCTGGTCTGATAGAGCCTGGTGGAACCACTGAGACTATGGCCCCTAGCTGCCTTTCAGATCTGGAATTGAACCCACACCTGTGGCTTCTAGCCACACAAAAGACAGGCATATGAGTTGAACATTTACCTGAGGTAGATACACTCCTTGGAGAGAACAATCATGGGAGAAAGAAGGGCTGTTTATGCACCAGGAGACAGCTCAGGGGGCGGAGGGGCATGGAGAGATGGACACAGGGAAGAGGTAACTATCAGGAGGAAGTGGGAGGGGGTTGTTGCATTGTGGTAAATTATAGTCAATGTCATGAGACAAAGTGCATGTGAACTGCTGTATGGAAAGTGAATTTGCTGTAAATTTTCACCCAAATCACAATTAAAAAAAAAAAAAGTAGTAGTAGAGACATAGGGTAGAATTTGGACTTGGGTTAAATTACATAATGCATAAGGCACTTGACTGCTAACCAGAAGGCTGGCGGTTCAAACCCACCAGCCACTCTTCGGAAGGAAGGTTGGGCAACCTACTTCTGTAGTGATACCACCTTGGAAAACCAAGGAGGGGTCGCTATGAGTCAGGTCCAACTTAATGGCATATGTCAACAACAACATAAAACACATGTAAGGAGCTCTGGTGGTATACTGGTTAAGGGATAAAATACATGAAACACATAGCAAAGGTTCTATAAATGGTAGCTCTATGATGGTTTGTTACTTTTCTAGGACTAAAAAATATTCCATCTTATATTTTAATTGTCATTGTTGCTTATCTCTATATCTCCTGTATCTCTGATGAAATGTTCAGTAAATATTTTTAATTAAATTCTATTTTTTCAACATGCTATTAATAAAGGAATAAATGTGCCTAGTATGGAACAGAAACATAGATATATAGAACTGGGATAGACCTTAGATTTAATCTAGCTCAATCCTCTTCTTTTACATGTTAAGAATTTGGAGTTTAGAGAAAATAACTACTACTTCCTTTGTTACAAATCTACTCAGAGAGTGAAACTAACAATGCAGTTTCATAGATTTCACTGAACTTCTGTGAAACGCTAGAGGAAAGGATTCTTAATGCCTGCTTCCCTGTAGACCCCACAAATTCAGACCCTGCTGAATCTTAGCATCCAGCACATTGATTGACACACTGTAGAAAGTGCTCAGTAAATAAATGAATGTGAGAAAGGGAAACATAAAGGAGAGAGAACTCTATACCATTACTGGGTCTTCATTTGAACTGAAGTGATTATTTGTTATGGGGTGAGGATGCTGTAACTATGGGAAAATCTGCAGTGCTTTTAAGTGTTTACTGTAAGTAATTATAAAAGATTACCCTATTTCACAGTTTGGTTTTAATGCATGTCAGAGAATATTTCCCATATGCTACAATATAAACAGTAGTCATTCCTTGCCTCCAAAAATCCAAAAACAGTAATGAGGGGGGTCACTTTGTTGTCTGGCATAGGCTTTATTAAGAGTTTCTACACCCCAGATCCTCTTCTGAAAATCTACACACATCTCTACTCTCCTTCTATGCCCATGGAAGCCACTGCTAATCCATCACAGCATTTTTTTTTCTTTTGAAGATAGACTCACTTCCTCAAAATAGTGTTCCAAGAATCCACTAACAATTAAAGCTGTCAGAGAAAGTGAAATAGAGGTGCTCTCCTGAGCTAAGTTCTCTTTATCCTGTCTTGCAAGTATCTAATATTCAGAACTCTGAGTTTTCAAACTATTTTGCTTTGTAGTTTGATGCAGGAAAAGAGTTCAAGTCACAAATATAACCTAATAAATATAATTCATATACTCACCACATATGTGCTAAGTTCTGTGCTATTACTTTAGGAGATAAAATTAAAAATTATATATCAATCTCTAATCTTAAGATGCATGGAATTTTCTATATCTTTTCTTATCATTATACTGAGGATTTCCTAATTATTACACATTTACATTTTTCTTTACGAGAGGTTATGCATTGATTTTTTTATGTTGAGGGGGAATTTTTACGCATCTAACTGTAAACGTGAATCACTACATACTGAAAGCTTGGCTGAGGATAGTCTGGTTAAAGAGAGAAATATTTAATGGCAAGTTCTCCCCTTGTATTTTTTTATATGATTGTCCTGAATTCCTCAACTTTCCCTACTTATATTTTTGGGGTCAGGGTGTCCTGAGTTCCTCAAGCTGAAGTGTCATTGTCATTTAACCCAGGATGGATTTTCCACAGCCCTGCTTCCATGTAACTTTATTTAAATAAACATTTCCTGCAGCAGGTATATGGGAGTTGAGAGGGTCATGCCTAAGTTCCACCAGAGGTTGTTGATTTCAGATTCTGTGATTTTAAAACAGAGATCATCTCTTCTATTCTACATACTTGTTTATTTTCTCTGGAAATTTGTTTCTTATTCCCCAACAATCCATTTGACCTAGATATGCCTGGTAATTGATGCCATAAATTATGTTTGCAGATGATTAGAGGGAAGTTCAACCAAACAGATGGATCTGAAATAATGCTACTGACTGATGGGGAAGACAATACTGTAAAGAACTGTATGGATAACGTAAATAAAAGTGGGGCAATTGTTCATTTAATTGCTTTGGGACCATATGCTGATGAAGCAGTAATCAAGATGAGCAATATGACAGGTAAAATATGACTTTTAGATAGTAATCCTTTGATAACCTATTGCTATAAGTTGATTCTAACTCATAGCCTCCCTTTGGGACAGAATAGAACTGTCCCATAGGGCTTCCAAGGCTGTAAATCTTTAATGAAGCAGACTGCCTCATCTTTGTCTTGCAGAGTGGCTGGTGGGTTCAAATCACCAACGTTTTGGTTGTTGTTGTTGTTGTTCAGTGCCGTCAAGTCACCAGCGACTCATAGTGACCCTATGCAGAACAGAACAAAACATGCCCGGTCCCAGGCCAGCTCCACAATCCCCACTATACATGACCCCATAGCTGCAGCTGCTGTGTCAATCCATCTTATTGAGGGCCTTCCCCTCCTTCATTGACCCTCCACCTTACCAAGCATGACATCCTTCTCCAGGGAATGGTCCTAATGTTTTGGATGCCAGTCGAATACTTTAACCACTATACCACCACAGCTCCTTAGTCTTTTGATAGCAATGCATAAATGAAGAGGCTGACAACTCAACAAATTCTCTCAAGCTCCTGCTTTTAGACACTGTTCAAGGAGCTGGGGACCACAGCTAAGCCAGACACAATCACTGCTGTCAAGGTACTCACAGTCCAGCTGGCCAGAGGGACAAATAAAACCACATAACCAGATAAAAGTCCCTCATAAAAAGAGGAACACCTAGGAATAAAGTTCTGTGTGAGTAGATAAGCCATTAATTCTCCCAGGATTGGATGGAGTCAGGGAAAGAAGGAATCAAGGAAAGTGACTTCTGGGCTGAGACTTAAAAAAGTGTTGAATTTCTCTGGGAGGAAAAAGAGATAGGAGAAGATCAGGCTATGAGTAAAATCATGGTGGGATGATAGTGCTAGGCATGTACAGGGAATGGTGGGAAATTCAGTGAGAACAGAGCACAGGCTGTGGGGTGTGGGACAGATTAACAGAAGTTTAGATGGAAGAGATCTAAATAACAGTTTCTAGATTAAGCATTAACTATGGTAGATGTGAAAACTGGACAATGAATAAGGAAGACTGAAGCAGAACTGATGCATTTGAATTGTAGCATTGGTGAAGAATATTGAATGTATCATAGACTGCTAGAATGAACCAATCTGTCTTGGAGGAAGCACAACCAGAATGCTCCTTAGAAATGAAAATGGCAAGACTTCACCTTTCATACTTTGGACATGTTATCAGGAGTGACCAGTTTCTGAAGAAGGACAACATGCTTGGTAAAGTAGATGGTCAATGAAAAAGAAGACAACCTTTAATGAGATGGATTGACATAGTAGCTGTGGCAATGGGCTCAAGCATAGCTACGATTGTGAGTATGGCACAGGACTGGGCAGTATTTTGTTCTGTTGTATATGAAGTCACTAGGAGTCAAAAGCGGCTTGATGGCACATAACAACAACATGGATCCATGGTGGTGCAGTGATTAAGCGTTCACTACTAAGCAGATCAGTGGTTTGAACCAACCAGCTGCTCTGAGGGTTAAAGTCTGTTTCCATAAAGATTTACAGCCTTGGGATGGTTCAACATTAGAAAAACAATCAATGTAATCCACCATATAAATAAAACAAAGGAGAA